ACAACAGGTGAAGGGTGATCTCAGCTCTCAAGAACTTCACAGCCTCGTTGGGAAAAGGAACAAGTAAATCAATGAGGCTACATTAGGGATGAGCACAGATAAGGGGCACCTCACCCGCAGAGTTAGCAGTTGGAATTGGGTGGTAATGATCAAGGGGAAAGGGGGAAGAAAAGAAGCATTCCTAAATCATTCTCAGTACAAAAGCCGGAAGCAAGAGAGAGCGTAGCCTATCCCGCTAGTTCCACAACCCTATCTCCGGATACACTCAGATTCTGAGGTACTGTGGGTGAGATTTTGAGGGGACACAATTCAGCCTGTTAAAGAGTCCATGGAAGGGCTTTTGGGGCTTTGTGAGCCCCCAAACTGAATACTTTGCATAAGTGAGCATTTGTCTGAGACGTGCCCACGGCATGCAACGGATTCTCAAAGGGGTCTGATCCCTCCAATGGCCTGTTGCATTAACCGACTCAGGAGAAAGTTGAAGCTATGGGACGAAAGGCCTAAAAACACTGTGTGCATCAATAAATATCATTTGGGGTTTAATGGCCTGTGAAAGAAGAGAGGTGAAGCTGACTGCCAGACTCCAAGTCTTATGGTGAGGCACTGAAAATTCTGTTGGAACTGGTAATGAGGGAAAAGGGATTTTTATTTGGGGACCTTATCTGAATTTCATGGCAAAGTGCGATTTCCATGACTGTCAATAAAAAACACTGGTGATTTTCCATAACTAAGTGGATTCAATGAAACTAACCTTCTGCTTAGTATGTCCTTGCTAATATTTTCCTAAAAAGAAGGTCACAGAGCTACAAAACTGTCACCAGCTGCTTCTCATTAGGAATGTGGTTAGCAGATGTGGGTTTTCATAGTCCTAATGCATGAAATAGTTAATCCATTTTTGTGGGTTGCAGATAGTGATTTATCTTGGCGGGGTGAATTTTCAAATGTGCTTGCATCAGCTAAAGGATATATTCACCTTTCCCTCTTTCACTTCATGTTTGTGCTAGAAAGAAAAATACGTTTTAGGATCTTTCTCCTGGAAGGCAATGGAGTACTGCCCTTTGAAAGGGACAATTGATCTCACTGTCTTCTAACTGGGAAAGTCACGCATGGATAAATTTTCAAAGTTGGATGTTGGATTGGTTATCTTACAAGCTTCATTCTTCCTTTGGTCTCTTCTTTAGTAGTAATTGAGCAGCTCTTGTTTTTGTTCCTCTGGCATCAGGCCCTCTTTGTGGTGGTGACCTTCAGGCTTGCTAAGGGCTGCAATTTTGCCTGGGGCCCTCCTTTATGAAATTACACAACACTCAAACCTTGGAACAAACCCCAGATCCACTAATTCTTTCCTTTGACGGACTCTTGGCAATACCTACTCCCTTTCAGCTGAAATGTAGCTTTATACAAGATCTGTTTGTCACCAAAATTAATTTGGCCATTTGCCTTTTAAGCCTGGAATCAAATGGTATTATGGCAGACTCATTCCTAGATAAAGTATAGACTCTTAAGCTTGAGACTTTCTACCAAAGGTAGAAAATACCTGATGCAGGTCAACAGATAATAATAACAGCAGCAGGTAGTTTTTATGGAACTCTCAGGGTGGCGGGTACAGTGAGCTAAACACTTCACATACAACCTCCCAGTTAACCCTCACAGCCATCCTTAGAGGTAGAAGGCATCTGAATTTTTCTGAATAAGAAGCTGAGGCTCATGACCTCAGCCCCTTACCCCTTGTCATAAAGTATAGTAAGTAGCCAAACTACAATTTGAGTCCTGTGTTCTTAATTACCATGCTATATTATACACCTACTATGAGGGAGAAGCGGGGGGAAGACCACTGGGTTTTGAGAGAGCATAGAATCAGAGCCTAAGTCATAGAATTCTAGGAAATTATGGAACTGAGAGAGCTAATCCAACCCCCTCGTTTTAAAGGAGTAATAAAAAATAGGGGCACCTGGGTGGCTCAGTCATCTGGGCGTCCAACTGGTTTTAGCTCAGGGTTGGTGAGATAGAGCCCTGCATTGGGCTCTGAGCTCAGCGGGAAGTCTGCTAGAGATTCTCTCTCCCCCTCTCCCTCTGCCCCTCCCCCACATGTGCTCGCTGTCTCTCAAATGAATAAATCAATCTTTTAAAAAAAATAAAGTAATAAAAAATAAAGTAGCAATGATCCCTGCCTTGTTCTGAGAAACAGTGAGATAACAGCTTGAGCAGAGGATACATATTGGTAGGTGAGAGGAATGAAAGGTTATTAGGAATTATCTCAGCCATTTCCTTTTTTAGAGGTAGATAAAATAACATGCCTGTTCAGAGAATTATCTAAGCTTGTCTCTCTGTCCCTAAGAAACCGTGGAAACAGATGTGTACTCTTTTTATTTCAGATTTCATTATTCACAGTAAGTAGATTTCCACTGACTACTTGAGATTTCCTAGATTGTAATTTTCACTCTGCAAGGAACCAGTAACCTTCAGAGGGATTATTTGAAATGACTACAGCACAGAAGGCACTGAATTTCAATCACTCACATGTTTAATGAGTTCTTCTCGGCAAGGCAATATTTTTGGAATAGTGGGGGACGAAAAGAAGTCAATGGGTGGTCCCTGCCCGCCTGTATTTTATAACCTACTTGGGCAAAACAGGCAGGCATAGAATAAAATTGTTCAAAGGAAAAATCCCAGCAAATTGGGTAGACAGGGAAACCTGGGATGAGATCTTGCTATGTGGGAAAGTGGTTGAGAGGGGCAGGAGGTGTTTGGAAGGATGGCCTCAGTGGGGAACGTGCAAGGCATCACACTGTGGCTGATCTGAACGTAGTGATGAGAGAGAACACTGAAAATTAGAGTCTGATGGAGGACCTTGTAAAAACAGCTCAATAAATCGGGGATTTTTCACTGATATATTTAAAAATAATCTTTTAAGTAAAAATTCCCAAGTAACCCAAATAGTAATCTCCATTACCTTCTCTCCTCCTAGAGTTAAATACCTAGAGTTATGTCACATAACTTGCTATCTTATGTAAGTGCCCTTGCTATTTAGTTGGAAGATCTGTGACTTCCTCCAACTCTGTTGATCAAAAAGTTCTTGATACTTTTGGAAAGAATTTCCAGCACTTCCCTTTTGCTAATAAAGGTGTCCAAGTGCCCAACCTCTGGATGATTACGGACATAAAAGTGTTCAAAATAGTGCTTATACTCGAAGGAATCAGCTGCCAAGTTCTAATAAGCAGAAATTTCACATAACTCAGGCCTCTGGGGGCTCACGCCTCAGCTGGAGCAAAGCCAGGAACATCTGTGACTGCAGATGCACTTGGTTGGGCACATCGGGACCTGCTGGAACAGGGAGCTGGCCTCATTGCAATTGATTTAGGAGATTGGAGGGTTGAGCTTCTGCTGACATTTGCAGCTTGGAAAATCCTGCTCCCCTAATTGCAAAGAGGATTCTGCTGTAATGATTTTTTTGGTAAGAACTTTTCTCATTTTGAATTTTCTTCATTTGGGCTCTGGGTACTTTCCAGTCTCCATTTTTATTGTTTTTACTCCTGGTATAGGAGGCTCTTTGAATGTTCCTGCCCACACACGAACGTGCATTCATAGAGAAGTGCATGGACATGGCTTACGAGCTTCAACATGTACTTCATGAGCAAGCAGGTATCCAGACCCTTTTACGGGAATTGGTGCACATTCATTCCCTCTGCTTGCAGCCCCACTCCGCACAAGTGAAAACATGGGGATTTCACTTTTACTGCTGAAGAAAAGTTAGAGGGCACCTTGACCTCATGTTTTTGCTGAGATCTCTGTCAGCAGTGTGATTTCTGGACCCTCATTTTTGAGGTTTGAGGTATGTAGTAAAGCCCTGGACCAGGAGGCTGGAAGACCCGAGTTTTTTCTCCTTCCTCACTGTGGACTTTGGGCCAGAGTCTTTGGCATTCTGGGCCTCAGTTTCCTCAGTTCTCCCAGCCCATGAAGCTGGAAGTGGGTGGATTGCAACACTCATGTCTTTGGATAAAAGCCACTGCAGGGTCTGCAGTGTGCATACAATTTTGGGGATACCCATCAACATTTGCCCCAACAACCGGCCATGACCTCCAGGATAAAAAAGTTAGATCTACAAATCCAAGTCCAAACTCTTCCATATTAGATGATATGAGGCTTTTCACACTCCTTTCCTGCCACCTCCACTGACCCTATGCTGTGTTCACATTGGAATTATGACATCTTCCTAAGTAACCATCATTCTGTAAATATCTATGAGGCCTACCTATTGTAGCTGCAGAGCTGAAGAAGCAATGGTCCCCTCACTCCTGGCAAGTGAACAGGTGATTACAAAGCAGAGTAACAAATACCTGTATTCATGTCTCTGGACCTTTGCTTATGCAATTCTCTCTGCTCCACCTACTCACCTTACATTGTCACCTCTGTGAAGCTGACCCCAGGCCCAACCGACGGTTTCTTTTACTCTGCTCTGAGGGCTTCTTTTACTCTGCTCTGAGGGCGTATTCTACATGTCATTTAACCGCATAGTATTGCCTCAGATTGGTTGGTTCTCAGTTCTCCTCCGCCACTAGACCGCCAGCTCTTAATTGTGGTACGTTTTATTCAGCTCATCTCCAGGCATCGAAAGGAGCACAGGGCTGAGCACTCAGTAAATACATAATGAACCAATCAATGCAAAAGTGAACGTGGAACCAAGTCTTGCAGGCTTGCAAAGTGCTTCTTGTGGCTGATTTTGTTTTCCGGACCGGGGCTGCTCGAACTGCGCGGTAGAGGTCAGGAGTTTCGGGGTGGCCATCGGAGACCAACCCAAGGAGAACGTGAGACGAAGCCCTCACGGCGCCCGCGCTGCCCAAGTCCAGCGAGCATCAAGGGACTGGCCTAAAGAAGCGCAACGACTTAACCTCCCGGAAGCTGCTCCGCCCGCCACTCCCCGCCCCTCCGGACGATGGGCGTGGCCTCTCATGAATAATGAAAGGCTGCGGGGGGGGAGGGGCAGGACCCGCCCCCTCGGGCGGGAAGGGGGAAGCGCCGAGGCTGCCTGACTGGAATGAGGGTAGCTGCGGCGACTGCGGCGGCGGGAGAGGGGCCGGCCATGGCGGTGTGGACGCGGGCCACCAAAGCGGGGCTGGTGGAGCTGCTCCTGAGGGAGCGCTGGGTCCGGGTGGTGGCCGAGCTCAGCGGGGAGAGCCTAAGCCTCACGGGCGACGCTGCGGCGGCTGAGCCCGAGGCGGCTCTGGGGCCGGCAGCGGCTGCCTTCAACGGCCTCCCGAACGGCGGCGGGGCCGGCGACTCGCTACCGGGGAGCCCCAGCCGCGGCCTGGGTCCCCCGAGCCCGCCCGCGCCGTCGCGGGGCCCGGCGGGCGAGGCGGGCGCGTCGCCGCCCGTGCGCCGGGTGCGGGTAGTGAAGCAGGAGGCGGGCGGCCTGGGCATCAGCATCAAGGGCGGCCGCGAGAACCGGATGCCGATCCTCATCTCCAAGATCTTCCCGGGGCTGGCGGCCGACCAGAGCCGGGCGTTGCGGCTGGGCGACGCCATCCTGTCGGTGAACGGCACCGACCTGCGCCAGGCCACCCACGACCAGGCCGTGCAGGCGCTGAAGCGCGCGGGCAAGGAGGTGCTGCTGGAGGGTGAGCGGGGCCGGCGGGGCGGCGGGGCGGCGGGCGGCGCTGGGCTGGCCGGCGCTCACTTTGTTTTTACCATCCTGGCCCCCTTTGCGGAGAGAGTCCGTTCCCTCCCCCTCCGCGTCCTCGGCTTCCCCGAGCCGGTGGCCCGGCTCTCGCTTGGATCCTGCCTACTGGGGCTTTGAGTATGGAAAAAACTGAGGCTTCTTGCAGGAAAAGTTGGCTTTCAGTCCCTAAGGAAGACTCGGTTGAGATTTAGTAAAAAGCTGCAGCGCTTGAAGCCCCGCCTCTTCAAGATAAGCTGACACTAAGAACTAGAGGGATACTGAAGGGCTCGAGTCCTGGAGGTCTCGCTTTGCCTCCTGAGAAGTGCCGGGTTGGCGCTCTCTTCACTCACATCTGCCCCCCCGGCCCGGGCGAGAGAGGGTCTGTTTAAAAAAAACAAAAACAAACAAAACCCCCACCCACACCGATGCCAGTGGTATGTTTGGGCAAACCACCAAAACTACTGCTTAATTTATGGGAATTTAGCCCACCATTGACTCTCGACACTAACCAGAAGAGATCATAGCACTTCATCGAAGCCAGAAAGCTGAAGCAGCAAGTTTGTGTGGCTAATGAGCCTTGTTTAACAGAGGAGGCTCACGTGTTTGAACATTTACTGCCAACTAGAGTTTTGCCCCTTTTTCAAGAGACTGGTGCCAGCTTCCTAGCATTCACAGGCATGCTGCTTCAAGGCTTTGAATGAAGCCTGAAATGTTAAATCTCAAGATATGTTTGAATAGCCACTATTATTATTTGCTTTAAGTACCTACGTGATCTGTAATCTGGATCTTTTGTGATGAATTTATGGAAGGCAAAAGTAAATCTCATTTCTGTGAAGTACTCATGCGTGTTGGAGGTGGTAGAGTATTGTCAAGGTGATCTGAAAAGCCAGTTGCTTACTTCAGAAATTTTTGAGCGAATGCCTTTCTCTCACTGGTGATTCAGTCATTCAAGAAGGAAGCATTTATTACTGGCTGTTTAGAAGAGGATATAAAAGATAATGTTCCTCTATTTGGTCTCTAGTTGGGGACATGATGGAAAAATGCAAAATAACTTTAAGTTACTGATTATGTAATGCAAACTATATATAAATGCCAAGGGAATGCAAAGTTAGGAAGTAGTGGAAATCAGGATTAGTCAGGGAGGCCTTTTTCAAGGAGCTGAAATCTTGAGCCAGGTCTCTAAGGAAGTAATGGACATAGACAAGCAAAGATGAGTCAGGAGGGTATTCCTGGCAGAGGAAGAGCAGAAGGGAATGGGTGGGGAATAGGGGTAGGCAGAGACTAGTCATGGAACTCAGAGGTCAGAAGTCCAGCTTGCCAAAGTGATGTTCACTTTTTCCCAAACCTGCTTGTAAATACTTGGAAAAATGTTAGTTTGCACGTGCTCCCAAGTATGAAATTCCAGTGTCCCATCTTTATAATATCCTATTTATAAATCTTATTTATACCTCACTTATAGGTGGTGCCAGACACTGCTCAGAAATTAGTGTTAATAAATGGAGTAAAATTATAGACTGTGGCTTGGGCAGTGGGTGTATTAAAAAAATTGTAACCTTGTAACCTTAAATGTGCACCTTGAAATTGGTCTAGCTAAGCATTTGGTTGTAAATTCTTAGAACCAGAACATTGGAGTAGTACTATTTATGTAGTACTCACTGGTAATGGGCAGACATCTCAGCTCTTTACACCATATATTTTTTAAAAGCCCAGTTTTTGTTTAGATATGTTTTGAACCTGGTATTCATACCGATTAAATGAAAGTCATCTAGTAAATGTTGCCCGGTATTCATTAGTCTAAAATAGGCCACATGTGCTTTTAGGAGGCTTTACAAACAGCAGCATAATAACATTTACTGAGTGCCTTTTTACCTAACACACAGGTTCTATGTTATTTTCTTATTTTGTAAAAGACAAGCAGTTTTTGTCCTTAAATGTGTGGGGAAGTATGAAATTACACTTTCAAGCCAAAGAGATATAAAAATAAAATTACTTAGAATATGCTAAATCACTGAAAACAGTGATTTAATTGAACCAGTCAGACATTTAAAATCAAGAGCTGGGGCGCCTGGGTGGCTCAGTTGGTTAAGCGACTGCCTTCGACTCAGGTCATGATCCTGGAGTCCCGGGATCGAGTCCCGCCTCGGGCTCCCTGCAGTGAGTCTGCTTCTCCCTTGGACCCCTCCCCCTTCTCATTCTCTCTATCTCATTCTCTCTCTCAAATAAATAAAATCTTTAAAAAAATAAAATAAAATCAAGAGCTGGTGTTCCATCCAGGTAGGCCACTTCTAAAAGGTAGATTTTATGCTTAGTCCTTAAAGTTTTGGAACCTTATTGTTCTTCCATTAGATGTCTCAAAACTTGAAAAGCTGCCTTAAGTAGCACAGTGATGCTCTTTTGTGATGTGGGCAGGGAATTTCAGGCATGCCCTTGCCACCCTCAAGCAAAGGAAAGCGGTAGTCTCTGGTTGCCTGTGGTTAGGGAACTGAGCTAAAGGGTTCCTTTTTATCTCATGGATTTGTCAGGATTATTCATTCATACATCAAACATTTACTCAACTCTACCATGTGCCAGAGGCACTTGAAGATACCTGATTCCTGCCCTCAGAAAGTTTGGAGTTGAGATAAGAGAGAGATAAGAAATAACTATAGCAAAGGGCTAAAAAGGATGTTATAATAGAACTTGAGAGGACACAGCGCAAAGAAAGGAGAGATCTGTAGAAGACCTTAGTGGGGGTCAGAGGTTGAGGATGCCTGGGAAAAGGTTGATGGAGAAGTTGAAGCTTCCCCTACGAGAAAGCTGCCACCAGTAAATACACACAAATGAGAGACAGTAGGAAGTTATTTTGCCCAGTGAGGGTAAGTACAAATGAGGACTTTGTGGTCAGACAGACGTGGGTCTGTTTCTGGCTAGTGGTTTGTAACCCCTGGGCAAGTTACTCAACCTTGCTAAGCCTTAGTTTCCTCATCTGAAAAACCAGGATGGTAATAATACCTCCTTCAAAGGGTTGTTATTCATTTGACAATTTGTGTGCTAGGTGCTTTCTTAGGGACTGGGCATATAGCAGTAAACAACAATAACAAAAACCAAAGTCTGAATGAGGAAGGTAGGAGTGGGTCATGAAGGTACATGTGAGATGACACAAGCACTCTGAGAGTAGCCAGGGTAACAAGTTGTTAAAATCCAAGGCACCATTTTACTTGAAAAGAAATACGTGATAAGAATAAAGATTACTTTAGGTGAACAGGTTAAGAATCAGTTTGCAGTTCTTGGTTGCAAACACCTTTTTCTAATCTTTTTTCCTGTCATCTCTCTTTTTTTTTTAAAGATTTATTTATTTATTTGAGAGAGAGAGAGAATGAGAGATAGAGAGCACAAGAGGGAAGAGGGTCAGAGGGAGAAGCAGACTCCCTGCCGAGCAGGGAGCCCGATGCGGGACTCGATCCCGGGACTCCAGGATCATGACCCGAGCCAAAGGCAGTCGCTTAACCAACTGAGCCACCCAGGCGCCCAAAGATCTTTTTTTTTTTTGAAGCAATTCTCATTGGAATATTGTTGGAAAATCATCTTTTATTGCCTAAATGTAGTTTCAAAAGTTTTGTTATCAAATCTACTGAAAAGAAGATGGTTAAGTGTATAGGGGAAGTGGACTGGCATGAAATTTAACTTGAAAATTGAAAATGATTTTTGTATCCGGGATGGTTTGAGATTTTGAGTGTTATATATAATGTTTTGTTTTGTTTATTTGACAGAGAGGGAACACAAGCAGGGGGAGTGGGAGAGGGAGAAGCAGGCTTCCCACTGAGCAGGGAGCCTGATGCGGGGCTTGATCCCAGGACTCTGGCATCATGACCTGAGCTGAAGACAGATGCTTAATGACTGAGCCACCCAGGCGCCCCTATAATATGGTTCTTTGTGCACGATAGGGGACATATAACATACTGTTGACAGTATTAGGCTGCTAAATTAAAGAAGCTAGTCTGAATTCCTACACTGCCACTTTCTTCCTTGTTTGTTGGACAAGTTTAGAGTCTCCTAAGGAAAACATTTTACATTTTCTTTGAGATTTTGCATGTATATTCATCAATTTATCTCTTGAAGAACATCTAAATTATCAGGAAGTTTGTGTTTCTGTGTTTGTTTCTTTTTGTTTAACTAGCCTCGTCATGTTTCACTTGAATGATTAGACATGTTTATATGAGAAACTATGTCTTTGTAACCATATTACTTCTCATAGTCTCCTCATGCTAAAATATGTCCTCCAAATTATTATCAAAGTATGAGAAGTTTATTGATTCTAATATAGAGTGGTTATGAAAATTCTAAGAACATTTTTAGAAACCAAAACCAGGCTTTAATTTAGATCTTAACTGGTAACTTAGTAACTTCAATATGTTACCTGCTGTGTAATTTTTCCAGGGTAAAGATTACTTGGTGATCAAATGTGTCTCTTTTGTACATAAGGCATGAGATACATCCCGTGGCTGTGGAAGTGTTCTGCTGTTCTGAGCTGATGGATTATTTGAGGATCCACTCCCTGTTCATGGCTAGATTTACACACTATCCTAACTGGCAACAAATAATGCTGCCTACTTGTATTTTTCACTAAATAACATAATAGTATAATAATACTTTACTTTTTTATTAGCATTTTAAAATGATCTATGCATTAAATTTTTTTTTAAATTTTAAATAGGCTTCCTTCATACCCAGTGTGGAGCCCAATGTGGGGCTTGAATTCAGAACCCTGACATCAAGACCTGAGCTGAAATCAAGAGTCAGACACTTAACTCACTGAGCAACCCAGGCGCCCCATCTATTCATTTTTTTAAAAAAATTTTTTTAAAGTTTTTGTTTATTTATTTGAGAGAGAGAGTGAGAGATAGCACGAGAGGGAAGAGGGTCAGAGGGAGAAGCAGACTCCCTGCCGAGCAGGGAGCCCAATGCGGGACTCGATCCTGG